CTCGGCCGCCACTGGCGTGCCCGTGCCAGTCTTCGAGTTGAAGAATCGGGGCGGCCCGTCCCTCTTCTCCTCGGCGTTGGAGCGCCTGAGCTCGCGAGCCGCGCCGCAGGAGCCCCGGGACCACCGGGGGGCGGGGCGTCCCCCTGCTCCCCCCCCCGTTCTCCCTCCTCCCCTTCCTCTTCCCCCCGCTCCCAGAATTTCTCCTCAGCATCCTCCTACTCCCTTTCCTCCTCTTCTCCCTGCCCTGATCGCCCATTTCTGCTGGCGACGGCGAGGCCGCGTTTCATGCCCAGACGGATGCCGGCGACCATTCTCCGAGCCCCCCCCCGCAGTCTTGGAGGAGGGGCACGCAAGCTGCTCGGGCCCGGCCCCGTCGTCCGAGCCTCGCGTCGGAGCTCTCTCCCGGGAGGGGGGGACGAGGCGATCGACGAGAACGTCGGGGGGCAGGGCATGCGGTGATTCCCCGTGGCTCCATCCCTCCCTTCCCTGTCCATCCTTCCCCCCGATTCCCTCTCAGGCAGCCCGCACCCCCTCCCTCCCCCCGCCAGCCTGCCTCCCCTTGATCGCGTCCGAAGTTTAGTATGGGGGGGCTGCCCTGCAGAGGGGGGGGGGGGCTTCGCGACCCAGCGGGGGAGGACCCTGGGACCATATTCGAAAACCTGTCCCCCCTCTACTCTCCCTCCCCTCTTCTTCCCTCTCTCCGAGGATCGAGAAACCCCTGCTCCTCGCGAGAGGCCCACCGAAGCGCAAGAGCTTTGAGCACTGGCTGAAGGATCGCTTCGCGCCCCCCGCTGTGCTCTGAGCTCTGAGCTCGGTCGGAGGTGGTGGAGGGAGAAACGCGCCAAAATCTGTCTCCATCTCCGCCTCTCTCCTGCCGCGTGAGGCCCCGGCCCTCAGCGGATGGCCTCAGTGTATCTATAACAGAAAGGCTCCTCGTGCGCGGCGCATATGGAGTAGAGCCCGCTCTGGAGCACCATGTCGTCCAGGCCGCTGGCCAACGGGCAGATGCCGCTCAGCTCTTTTTTGAATGGCTCCACCCAGGTGCAATAGGTGGACTGGCCGTACTTCTGCTGGCCCATGGGGCACGGCATGTCGTAGAAGAGGGGGTCCCTGGCGCGCATGTCGGTGTGGATGCCGTCGCACTGGAGCCCACGGTAGCGGTTGGTAATCTGCCACCGCTTGGTGATGGGGACCTCGATGCCCTGCTCGTAGAGCTGCCTCTCGGTGCGATATTCACCAGAACCCATCTGCCCGCTGAGCTTCCGCTGAAAGATGGAGTTCAAAACGATGGGCATATTGGTGCGCGGATCGCGTCCAGCATTTTGGGTCGTTGTTGCAGCCATCAAGGCCTCGTCATGGAAGGTCGGCGAATCCCAAACCATCTTGACCTTCATCTCGTGGAGCACATTAATGGAGTCGAGCAGGGAGGACATCCTGTGCCGCGCTGGAATGAAGTTCGAGCCCACCCAAACGACAATGGTGTCGCCTTCTGCAGGGTCCACGCCAGCCAATTCCATCTCCTTCTTGATCTCCTTCACGGGCAACTGGTGGCTAACCCATCCGTCCCAGTGGATAAAAGATCCAATGCCCTCCTCCGTGCAGCCGTGGGGCAACTCCGACGGGGTCTGCTGGGAGCGGGAATAGAAGCGAGCCTTACTTTTTGTTTTTGCAATGCCTTTCTCGCTTCTCTGCACCGCCGTCATCATGTCATCAAGGAACTGCGCGGTATAGTTGGACCACCAGATCTCAGGACACTTGTTGAGACGGTGGAACGCATTGCGGAGAGATATCATCTGCGAATCGCCTACAAAAATGTGCTTCGCCCTGCCGTGGAAACGCTCCTTCATGCAGTCAGACTTCAGCAGCGCTGCGTCTGGCCCAGTCATTTGCAAAGCGTCCTCGGCGTACCCTGCCCCCTGCAACTGGGCAAAGTACGTCGCAGGGTCCCAATTGGCCGCCTCGAGCATCCTCTCTGTGGGTATCGGGAAACCCTTCGCGCCCAGGTCCAAACAGAACTCCTTGCTGAATTGAGCCTTGCCGTAGCTGTCCGCGTCGTTTTCGCTACCAGTATCTGAGAAGCCCAGCTCCTCTGGTGTCTGGCGGGCGGCAGCGTGCGCCATGGAGCGTCGCTCTTCGGCGCGGGTCGACAATGCCGAGGTGCCGACCAGCACGAGGCTCGGGGCAAGGGCCAGGCGTGAGAACATGACCATCTTCTGCTGCGCCGCTCGAAATGTTATTCCAGTGTCAAAGCAAAGTGTCAATGGAAGCAGGAAGCTTGAGCCACAATGGATACAGAGGGGAATGCGACGGGAGGAAGAGGAGGAAGAAAACGAAGAGGTGACGGAAGAAGAGTAGGAGGAGGAGGAGGAGGAGGAAAGGCTTCAGCCCGTATGCACACCTGGGCCGTTTGGATGTTTTGATGGGGAGGAGGTGGGGAATATTCACACATGTATGCGTGAATAGGCACAACCATGCGTATACATACATACGTATATATAGAGACAAACAACTAGAGTAAACGTAGACATATCTATGTTCATAGCAGTGATGTCTAGATTCGATGAGCATCCCAGAGGTACCTCGCCATCAAACTTTGATGACATTAGTGTGCTGACCAAACGCTGGGTTAACAAACGCATGTGTTTGTTAACACGAATCGAACACGCTAGTAATGTTATAAACGTTGATATATGCCATAGTATACAGGATAGCGTGAAAGTGCAAGTGATGCCCGTTACCTATCGCATGCGGGATGCCAGATGTGGGGCGACAGCGGGGTCGGAAGGTCAGGTCGAGGGGCAGGGTGCCAAATGTGATGCTGATGATGATGATGATGATGATGATGATGATGATGTTGATGGTGATGATGATGATAATGCTGATGATGCTGATGATGCTGATGATGCTGATGATGATGATGATGATGATGATGATGATGATGATGATGATGATGATGACCGGCGCGCGCTGTTTTATCCCCGATCATACCACTGACGACTAGCTCCCTATCCCCGTGTCGGAGGCGGAGGAGGCCGAGGAAGAGGGGGGGCGTAGGAGGAGGCGGAGTAGGCGGGGGAGGAGGCGGGGGAGGAGGCGCGGATGGAGAGAAAGAGGCGGAGGAGGAGGAGGAGGAGGAGGAGGCAGAGAGGTAAGACGGGGCCAAGGCGGGGACAACACCATACACGGATAAAAATCTGGGATCTCTGAGATTCGGCGGTTCGAGGGAGCGCGTTTCACGGGCGCTTGCCTCGGGAATATCCGGCGGCCCGTTTGAACCAGGGGCCGGGCCCCGCCCCCGACCATTTCGGGACCAGAGCCCTGGCTCTCTATATCAATCCTTCTCCCTCCCCTCCTTTTTCTATCTTCCCTCCTCCTCCTCCTCCTCCTCCTCCTCCCCTCCTCCTCCCTTCCTTTTCACTTCTCGATCTCTCCTTATCCCTTCCCTCCTCCTCACCTCCTCTCGCTCCTCTGCCTTCCCGTCCCACAGCCCGCCCGCCCAGCTCGATCCTTTGGCCTGACCATTTTTCCAGACATGGCGGACGAGGCCGCCAAGGGAAAGCCGCCCCCCGCGTTGCTGGCAGCAAAGATGCGAATGGCCTCGCGAATGTGAGCCGTACATCGCACACATGATTTTTGATTGTGCTGCAAGGGCGCACGAGGCCACAAGACATGCGGCATATGTAAAAACGTTCTGAAGCATACATCGTCGTGGCTGCCAGATGCCAGCGGTTACTGCGTCAGCTCCACTGAGGTAGACGTTGCCCAATTCGTCTTGCATACTCATCCATCGTAGGTGTTCAGGCCCTGCTCAGGGAGAAATGCCAGACGCATGGGTTGGAGGACGTTGAAACGCAGTTGGGTACAATTATTTTGAGACTGGATTCATGCAAGATTTCGAGCTTCTGAATTCTATTACCATTCCGAGGGTATGGGCGTGGGATTTCATGCATCTATATTTCGTCGATGGTGTATGGTTCAATGGATTCAAGAAACTAATGTCGCGATTTCTCACTTATAATCTGGGGGCGCCAATGTTTAATAGTATCTTCAACACTGGTCCTGGCCAGGCCCGCACGGTAGCGGGCGCGAACTGTACAGGAAACATCCCGGTTACAGCCCAAGCGGCTCGGCCAGCGAGCAGCTTTCAGTCATCCCTAGGGCACTGGATTCTGCAGTGGCGAAGTATATAGTTGCATCCACTCTGCTGAACTTGAAGTCGTCATCTCCACTGCTCGCGCAAACATCCCACCCACCCACCCGCAACTTGGTTTGCAAAACCTGTTAAGACCGACTACGACGACACCGACGGCAACGACTAGGACGACACCGACGACGTCTCCGACGACTTCGACGACGACAACGACGCCGACGCCGACGACGACGAAGACGACGACGACGACGCCAACGAAGGCGACGACGAGGGAGGAGGAAGGACGACGACGGCGACAACGACAACGACGAGGGAGGAGGGAGGACGGCGACGACGCGAACGACGACGAAGGAGGAAGGACGGCGACGCCGACGACGACAACGACGAGAGAGGAGGGAAGACGACGACGACAACAACGACGACGACGACGGCGACGAAATAGGGGGGACGACGACGAGACGCCGACGACGGACGACGACGACGACGTGGGAGGAGGAGGAAGGACGACCACGGCGACAACGACGACGGAAACGACCACGACGCCAAAGAGGACGACGACGACGAACACGAGAAAAGACAGAGGACGACGTAGGCGACGACGACGACGACGACGCGGGAGGAGGGAGGACGGCGACGACGACGACGACGACGACGCAAGAGCGCGCGCGCACGCTTTTGTTGAAAATCCGTGTTGCGAAACCTTGGGTTTTTGTAGGTTTTTTGGGCGCACGATTTTGAAATCCTTCCGAAACCGATGGGTTTTGAGGGTTTTCGGCATACGCCCGCGACGACGCGCGCGTCTGCACTTCGTTCCATTTTTTGCAGAGGACTCTCGCGACGGCACACGCGCAAGGGCGTTTGACAGATGTCGACATGCGCGCGCGAAGCCCGTTTGGTAGCATTTTGTGAAAATCTTGAATCGCCTATGGTTTTCTTAAAATTTCGCGAGAGCTCGCGCGGAAGTTTATTTTGCAAATCAGTGTTGCGAAACCATGTGTTGTTGTATGTTTTTTTGGAAACTCGATTGCGAAATCCTTCCGGTACCAAAGGTTTTTGAAGGATTTCGGCATGCGCGCGCGACATCGCGCGCGTGTGCACTTCGTCTCGTTTTTGGCAAGGGATTCGTGAAAAATGTCATGCTAGAACAAGAAATGTCACCGCATAGTGTTTATATATACATATAAAACAGGGAACCTCAGGGGGGGAACCAGGTTTAGCTGGGATGATACGATTTCATATTTAGGATGGACGAGTGTGCAGAATATATATATATATATATATATATATATATATATATATATATATGTGTGTGTGTGTGTGTGTGTATGAAATCATACTACCCCAGGGGGTGCCGATAAGTCTGGGGGGGGTAAAGTTTATTTTCTTTTTAGAAAAGGAGAATCAAGCTCTGTAAAGTTGTCGGGCCCCGTAGTATTGCTAATTGTAGACGCTTCGCGAAACCCCACCAGCCCATCCAGAAACGATGCCCAGAGGAATTGCCTCGATCAGGGAAGTGGGCAGCAATAGAGGAAGGGTCCCCCAGTGGAGGCCTCTTGGAGCGTCTTGGGGGCCTCTTGGCGGTCCCGGACGCCTCTTAGAGCGCCCTGGGTGCCTCGGAGAGCTTCTTGGGGCCTCTTGGGTGTCTCTTGGGAGCCTCTTGGAAGCCTCTTGGACGCCTGTTCGGGCCTCCTGGGGCCTCCTGGGCGCCTCTTGGGGCCCGGAGCCTTGGGAGCGCTCTTGGAGCCCTCTTGGGCCATCTCGGAGCCATCTTGAGGCCTCGGCGAGAAAGCCAAAAACACTGATGTTCCTAAGGTTTTGGAAGGATTGTGACCTCTTCGGGGCCTCCGGGGGGAGCTTCTTGGCCAAGTGGAGCCGTCTTGGAGCGGTCTTGGGGCCTCTTGGAGCATCGTGGGAGCCATCTTGAAGCATCTTGGGATATCTCGAGGCATCTTGGAGGTCATCTTGGGCTCTCCCAGGCGCTCTCGGAGTCACCTGACGCAGTGAGCCCCCCCCCCCAGGAGGCCAAAATGTAGCCAAAACCTCAAGGGAAAACAATGAGCTTGGCGTTGTCGCCGAGGCCTCTTGGAGCGTCTTGGGTGCCTCTGGGGGGCCTCTGGGGGCCTCTTGGGGGTTTCTTGGGAGCCTCTTGGGGGCATCCTGGGGGGCTCTTGGGGCCTCCTGCCCACCTCTTGGGGCCCTCTTGGGGGGCCCTCCGGAGCCTTGGGGGCGCTCGTGGGGCCATCACGGAGGAGATCGATCACAAACTGGGGGTTCCTTAAATGGCGTCGCTCCGAGGCCGTTTTGGACGCTCCGTCACCTCGCGCCCCCCCCCCGCCCAAGTCCAGGGGAGGAGGTATGGGGGAGGGGTGAGCCCTTCCCCGAAGGGGAAGAAAGGGGGTGGAAGAGGAGCCGACCTAAACCACCTACGCCTAGAGGGCTCGCGGGATGCGGGGTTAGTGTCACCAATAGAACTTGGCGTTGCAATCGCAACGCGTTCGTCAGCGCATTTAGCAGTACATGGAGATGCCGTGGAAGCCCAAGAACCATTGGGCGCCCCACCTTCCACAGCAGCTCTTGGTGCAAGGGCTGCTGTTGAGCACGTCTACAGTTTAACGGGAGCATCGCGCGCCCAATCGGGACGCCACGAACAGGCGAAACTGGACAGGATCCGATGAGGGTATGATGGAGGATCTCACAGCGCAGCACTTGTATGACCTCCATGGCCCGATTTTGTGCGAGGGTCTGTTGAACCCAAAAGTGCCTAGCAAATGCGAATCAAGCTCACTCCCCAGGAATGTAAGAGGCCCGAAATAGGTTTTCCCCAGAAGCCTCGAGGGGCCTGTGGTTTCATTCCTTGCTCCCGCCGCCGTTTCTATTCGAACTAAGGCCCTTGGCCTTAGAGCTACGCAGATCGCTCGACCCGCGCTCGCTTTCGCCCAAAGGATCCGCGCCGCGCGCGCATCCATATCACAGTGGCAGCCCGGAGCGAGGCCGTTCCGCTATCCCGGCCTGCGGCCGTACATATTGCAAGACGGCGTCTGCGACGCGTCTGCCCGAATC